TTGATTTACTAAATTCTTTTTAAAAATTCTTTCTCATCAGTGCTGCAATACTTAATTGCCTACTCATAATTTTCTATGGCTAATTTATTTTTTTTCAATATTGTTAAAGAATCACCTATTAGGATACAATAAAAAAATAACCCTTATTAATATAAGCATTTGCATAATTGGGATCTATTTAGATTGCTTTATCGTAGCAAATAATTGTATCTTCATATTTCTTAAGACTTTGTAAACAAATACCTATTACAATAACAAAATTATAAACCTTTATTATTATATGCAAATGCATAATTAGGATTTATTTATATTGCTTTATCATAGCAAATAATAGCATCTTCATATTTCTTAAGATTTGCTAAAGAATCCCCTACACATAAACAAAATTATAAACCTTTATTATTATATGAAAATGCATCATTAGGATCAATTTAGATTGCTTTATCATAGCAAATAATTGCATCTTCATATTTCTTAAGACTTCTTAAACAAATACCTATTACAATACAAAAAATATAAACTACCTTTTATTGAATAACCTATACTATAATTTGGATTGCTTTTGAGAGCTACATCAATGCATTAAATAGCCTATTCATATTCTTTCAATTAAAATAAAGAAATACCTACTTTGAAAATAAATGAATACATTTTCTATATAAAGCATGAAGATTTTAAGGCTGTCCCTTCAAAATCTGTTCACATAATTCAATTGCTAATTGAAATTTCTTATCATCATTTAATGCATAACCTATAGAAACTATTTGATTTCATTTACTTTTTGCAATTATAATGAAAGTATTTTATGAATTTTTATTTAGTTCTAAATTCGAAAAATCCAACAAATCTTTATACAAGTTACAATTAATCTTTTTCGCCTAATCTCTTGTAATTATTCCTTTTCCTATTTCATTCATTTCAATTAAAGAAATACCTAAATTATTTCATGGATTTTAACAATACTTTAAAAGAGTGTTGCAAGCGATAATTTTTTCTCATAGTATTTTATATTTTTCTATAGTAATTCATTAGCCTACTACCATTTATGTTAATTTAGTAATTATAATCCTAATTGAAATTAAAAACTTAATACCTTACTAGAGAGTGCATTAATCATTTATACCTTGTATTTATTATTATTCTTTATCAAAATTCCAAGCCTCAATCATTTTTTTGATATTAATTAATTATGTTCCTAAAAATATTACTAATAAAAAAATACCAATTTAATTCTACTTCATGATCTCCTCTTAATTCTTAAAATATTGGTATCCTTCCTTAATTACTTATAAATTATCTTTCATTTATTGATAATCTTATTAACTTAAAAATTGAGATATCTCAAAAAAAATCAACTTCATTTTCTCCAATTATTTTGAAAATTCTTCATATTTCTTTTTAACTTATGCAAAGGATTTATCCAATTAGGTTTTTAAATCAAGGATGTTCTAATTGAATTTCATGATAAAACTTGAAATATAAACAAATCCTTTTAGATCTTTCTTGCAATTAATGTGTTTCATAGGGTCGACACAACATTGTAGACAGAATTAAGGTTTTGAATCTTAACATTCAAAATTTAAGCAAAATCCTTATATATCATCTGCTTCGTGTTCAATATGTTAACAAGTAAATAAATTCTATTATTTCATTAAATAAATTATGTTTTATAATAATGATTAAAAAGCACTTAATTTAATTAATGAAATTTAATTATATCGAATTTAAATTTTTTTGTACTCTAATCATTTAATTTAGAAATCCAAAAATATCAAATTAATAAATGTGCTTCTCCATTATTAATGAGACCACAAAGAAAAAAATATTTTTTGTTCTAATTTATTCGTTTACAATTTTATTAAATAATAAATAATTCCAAAAAATTCTTTNATTAATCATTATTTCAATAGCAGATGTTAATTTAGTCTTTAAATTTTCTAGATTGATATTGTATTAATCAATTATTTGAATATATAAATCTGCAATTTCATTTATCATTCTCCTCTTTTTGATTAACTTATCTTTTATAATCTTTTACATAGCATTAAGACTCATACTCTCAACTACTTGAAGTTGATCATCAAACATTCTTAACATAAGAATCTTTCCTATTTATTTAATTTATGATCCATAAGAATAGTAGTGATCATCTAATTGTGCTATTTTATACACTTAAATTCATTCTAATTTTCAGACATCTGTAAATCTTGCATATTCTTTGAATTAATTATTTAATATGATAAATTTAGTTAATATAATAAATAAAGAATAGATAATCTACTTATATACTAAATAAATTACAAATGTATTCTATTTATTAATAAATTCAAATATTCAATTTTTCTTGATACATTTCTAAAAATTCATAATTCTATAAGAATAAAACTTAAAATAATATTTAATTGGATCTACATGACACTTTTTTAATATATTATATATATACATATTTTACATTGATTTGGATAATATCAAATTTTTTATTCTATAATATTCTTTTTATTTAATAAACAAGAAAATTTCAATATTTCTTATTTCAATTTTATATTATGGTAGATATACTTATTATTGTACTTAGTTTAGTTTCATTTAATTTTATATATATTTTATTATTGAAAAGTAGATTTTCCCTCAAGTACATAATTTTTATTTATTAATTCTCATGACTTCAATTTATTTCATTTGAACTTTTAAGAGAAATTAATAAAAAATTATATAAAAGATATTAAATTTTCTAAGCATAATTTCACCTTCAATATTATTATATTATGAAACATCTTTCTTGTATAATGGAGATAGTATAAATCTGATCAAAATTTATTAATAATTCATTATTTTATTGTATTATCATAACATAATTTGTTATTAATGATAATATTTTTACAGATATTAAAGTTTATAATTTTTCATGCTAAAGTATTTATATATATATATATATATATATAGATATTCAGGAAAAACTATTATTTGCATAATGAGCTAATTTCGATAGTGAGTATTTAACATTAATTTGATTTGATTTTAAATAACTTCAATTTTAAATAGATATTGATGATCTATTAATTTCGGTAACTTTCAAAGACATATATAAATACATAAAAATGTTGATTTCTTTGAGTAGCAAATTCTTTCTTAAATCTTGCATTAAATACTAAAATCCAATAAAAATACCTTGTAAATAATAATTAAATGCTTAAATTGAGCCCAAGCAAGGCTTATATTCTCTGTTATTCTCTGATTTTTTCTGCTAATTTAATTATAACAATGAAGAAATAAATAGTAATATTTCTATTTATTTCAGTATATAGGTTGCAAATTTTTCTATAATTTTTGGTTGTTCCTTTAAGCTTAGTGTATTTAGAATCATGTGATAAATATTATTCAATTATGTTTCGATCGGAATCATCATCTTTATTTTTTTCCAAATAATATCTAACCTGTGATTTTAGAACGAATTCTTATTTATTTTCACCAAGGTTAAGAACAAATAAAAATCAGGATAGAAAAGGTAAGGAAGAGATATATTAATCTTACAGTAGTTATAAGCCAAAGATTTGTAAAATAATAATATGATATTAATAGGGAAAGTTTAAAATGGAAAATATAAAGTAAATTAATTTCATACCATTTGAATAGATTTAATTTCCACATTTTTCTAATATTAATGAAAAGATTCCTAGAGTTAAAAGCGATGCTTATGTCAATAATTTTAAGGAATAAAATTTATTATCTAACAAAAAGCACCACCAATTTTAAGAATAAGTCTCATCACTAATAACCCATATAAAATGTTGGAATGCATAGAAAAATTAAGTATTTAATACATAAATTAAATTAAGAATTTTGTTTAAAAAGTAGTAGGCTTAACATTTATTTAAGATAATATTTAGCATATCTAAATAGTCAATTAACTTTACATAAGTTGTAGACATTTTAAATCTAATAGAAGATTAAATTATATTTGTGATTACAAGAGAGAATGATTTCAATATAATTGAATTTAATGTGACTCTTTGGCGGTCTTAACTTTTTAAATATTTATGAGTTATAATAATAATTAATAGGAAGAATGTGATTAATGGATTAAAATGGAAATAATAATAATTTTAATAATTTTTGGATAATTATACATGTTATAATTCCTTGAAATAATGAAAAATTCGAATATCATTGTAAATTTTAGAATTTTCTATGAACACAATTTAGAAAAAGCAAAAATAATATGATAATTTGGAGTTTTACATGTATTATAAATTTCAACTTAAAAAATTATGTCTAAGTATTAACTAATATTTCTAAAGTAAAATAAATTAAACTCTATTTCTTTAAATTTAAGCTTTAATCAAAATGGTGGTGTGAAAATTAATATTATGTTAGACTATTTAAAAAATACTACAATAAATAATGGAATAAAATGATCCAATAATTTAATAGTCTAAGCAGTAGTATATATTTTAATAAAGTATTTAAACAAAATTAAATTTAGCAAATATTATATCATTTTTTTAGGTTTTCTTAAAGGTATGAATATAAAATTCTAATTGAAATAAAGAATATTAAAATTAATTTTTCATCATGGATTGATTTTTGAAGCCTATTGATAATATCATTCGATTAAGAAATTTCCTTTTATAAAACGAAGGAACCCTAAATAAATAACTATAAATATGATATTAAATTAGGATTTATTGATTATTTTAATTAACATATCAATTGATTATTTTATACCATTACTTAAAACTTAAAAAAATAATGAAAAGAAATTTTAAACGATAATTTGTAGGATGTATTTATTAAAATGATTAATTAAAAGAGTTATTACTTATTTTCTTAATCAAATTCAATATTTAAATGTTTTAATACAATTTTCAATAATTTATATATATTTAGAGGCCTTCATTAATTATAGAATTTAATTTATTTTTACGTAGTCTTTCCTTATTAAAATATCTTAATATATAAATTACAAAATATTTTTTGTATATCATTAATTGAATAATTTAATGAAATTTTAACATTTTTGGTTGCTAATAGCAATTTTGAAATAATGTTTAAGTGATATCCCAATTACTTAAACTCAGAAATATAACTTCCCTTTGGAAATTCGAAATTCTAATACAATATTTTTGAGAGATTATACTTTCAAAATAATTGAAGCTCCATTCTACGAATTATTAAGTTCAAGCGAATTCAACTTAACAATTGATTAAGCAATATCTCAAATTTTTAAGATGAATTCAAGTAGCATTAATGATTCATCAATAAGGATTGGAAGTAATTATATTTCGCTTACTGGGGTTAATTCTAACATTTTTTGGGTTTTAACTTAAAATGATAAACTTTACAAGGGTCGAATATAAAGTAATGGAGAATTATATATGAATTTTTTGGATATTATGATTTAAAAATGTAATATAAATTTTTGTATTGTTTTTAGAATATTTCTAAATAAACTTAATAACAAATGATTTTGGAATGCTGAGTAGCTTATAAGATGGTGAATTATATTTTACATTAATAAATTCAACAAACTTAGAATGCACAGACTTTATCATAAATTATTAGATAGAATCCTAATTTTATAATCCTATTATTTAAATCTTATCTATAAATAACACATAATTTACATTTTGTTTGATATACACAACACCAAAAAATGCTCATATTGTTTATTTTACTTATAATTAAGATGATATAGAATAAACATCTGAATAAATATTTGATGGATCATATTCAAATGCTTTCTTATCTGATTATTAGAATTATCTTTTTTTGATAAATTCTGAACATGTTTATTTAGTTGATTTATTTTAAAATAGTAGTAGTATTCAAGAAATATTTAATTCAAATATTTAAATTTAAGATGATTCCTAACCCATATCATATTTTACAACTTTTCAAATTAGTAATAACTTATTTCACATAATAATTCTACAATAATAATTACTTAAATCTTTTTTTATAGATACTAATTATATAAATATATAGGCCTAATCAAATTCATATATTTTGAATAAGTATCAAAAAATAAACAAAATAGAATTGACTTTGGATAATATATTAATTGTTACAGATACATTCATAATTGACTTGTAATTAAAGGACTCCATTAAGGCTACAGGTTATTAACTACTATAATTTGGAACATATGCATTTTTTAATTTATTGAGGAATATTGTAGTTGTTTAAGAATTCTTCAATAATTAAACCATAATTTCTACTTACTTAATTAATTAACCTTAAATATTTATTTCTTAAGATACTTCCAAATTATTAGAAGAAATGAGTTAAACTGTAAAACTTGATATATAAGTAAAGTCTTAGTTAAATAATAAATTTATGTAGTATACTTTTTAAATTTAATTGATTCAATTAAATGTTATGGAAAATTCGAATCCTATTTAATTTCATTAAGATATAGAGGATTTAATTCTATAATTTCCTTAGGATAAAGTTATAGATAGAAACCAAATATTTTTAGGTCCCAATTTAACATTATCACTTTAATCTAGTAATTCTGATTATCTTTACGCAAGTGTTGAAGAACTTAAGTTTGAAGAACGGTCTATAAAAAATGCAATTTATTCAATAGTTTGTTCATTTTCAAGATAATAAGAATTATATTGTTCTTAATTTATGAATGATACAATTATTCTAACAATAGAAAATCCAGCATACTCAACTTAAAAATACAATATTTAGTCTTATTTAAAATTATAGAAGTGCTCATGCATCAAAACTGCATAAAATATCAATGTTCTTATGTAGTTTAATAGTAGTGTATTAATACAATAATTTGATTATTCTTTGTAACCAACTAAATAAATTTTGTTACCATTTTAAATGAAGATCATAAGTGCTTAAATTTTAAAAGATGTCTTATTTACAACTACTGTAGATGGTAAATTAATTGCCACAGATATATATGAAAAATAGTAATTATTTATAATTTCAAATTATAATTTTTAAGAAATTTACATAAATCCATATGATTTCCCACATTATTTATTTATAGATAATATAGATGAATTAATTATTTTAGCATATAATGGAAAATAGTCATATGAATTTATTAATTCTATTCAATATCCTATACAAAACTACAAAAGTAATGCTATAGGTATATTAAGTAATGGAATATATCTTGCTTTTTGTTAAGACAATAATAATTTTATCTATTTCTATCAGAAAATCAATATTTACCTTTAAAATAGTCTATCTAATTATTTCGACGTGTATTTCTAAGGATTGGAAATATATTAAAATCCTAATATATTAAGTACTTATACATCTAGTAATTTCTACTTAATCTTTGTTCAGGGTAATTTTTTCTAATTATGCTAATTTTCTGGAACTGGAACTTCTTATACAGCTTTGAGGACCTCTTTATTATATCAATTGAATGGCTTAAGTTTCATTTAAATGAGTTCTATTTAGAATTAAGAACCAGGCTATTAAGTATAAAAGGTTTATTTATTCACAAATAAATAAAAATTCATAGATCATCCATATTTATCATATGATTTTATTTTAGCAACACGTTATAATGAAGATGATTATATTGGAAAAATTAATATAACATATGGGGCATAGAATAAAAATTTTTCTTCATTTTTTATACAAAATGTTTCAATAATTTATGAAAACTATTTATTACTTCCTCGAAATTTGCATGATAAATAGATTTACAGCATATAGAATAAAGGGGATATTAAAATTAATCCTAGAACACTTTTTTATGGAAATATTTAGAATTATACAGTAAATTGTGATTAATGCAATTCCTTTAATATTATATAACCGATTGCTTTTAGCAATTCATAATCTATAAACATTTCTGTTGAAAATATGTTGAATCAAAATGATATACTTTATTTAACAGATTAATAGAATAACTTATATTAATTTTATCCTGAAACTAATAATTTATCAATGATATATAATTTAACAGATTAAGGAAATTAAGTTTGCTATTTTCTTTTTATTGAAATGTAAAATTCTTTTCCTGTACAAATTTGTACTGGAAATTCAACTATAATATATGCATTTAATACATCTTCAAATTAAATAATCTAACATAATTTTACTGAAGTATGTTGTTTTTATTACTCAACTTATCAAAATGGTATATTAACAGTATTTTCTAATGGCTAATTTCAAACTTTGGATTTTTTTGTTTTTTATTTTTGGATTTCCAATAACCAAATTAATCTCATGTAAATTTTCAATTCTAATGGAGTATGCCAGAATTGTTTGATAAGTTCTCTGTATTTAAATATGTCTTAAAACTTTACTACTCAACCTTGTTAAATATTTGGATTTATAACAACCTCAAGCAATGGTCGAGGTAATAATGAAATTTTTCTATTAAAACATTGCATCTCTTCAACAATGAGTTAAATTTTTGGGTTTGCACCTAACTAAACTACTTAATCTGGTAATATTTATTTTTAAAGTTCTACTTGGAATTTAATATAAACAGAACTTGTTAGTTTTCCATTTTATAAAATTACTAGATAATTTGGATCCTCAGAATATATTTCTGATAATCTTATACAAGTTAGATTTATTGTTACATATGTCAATGTTGTTGATTTGTATATCATTTTATTTAATTAAACAACAGGAAAACTTATTAGTTTTGTTCTAGATTAAGGTTTTTACATAGATTCTAACCAAACTATAAGATCATTTCTAGTATATTTAGGATCAAATGGCTTAGTAATGATACAAAGTTTTTAAGACTAAAATATATTAACTCCTCAAATCTATACATTTGAAAAACATAAATTTCAAATAAAATACAATACAAAAAAATTAAACAGAATGATAGGATTCGAAATAATATAGGATTAGCCTTCCTAAATTTATAGTTTATTTTCTGGTAATTATTATGCTATTAGAAATAAAACTAATTCATAATTATATTATATTTAGAATTATCTTACCCTCTCTATTGATTTAACTGGTATTTAAAATACATCAATTGAAATCACAGGCCATAATCCATAAAATTAAATAAAACAGTCATTATTTATTTTGAATCTAAATTATAGCAACACAAATACAAATAATAATACAATTATACCTGATAATCCAAATTCAACAGACCCAGATGTTCAAAAAAATTAATATCATGTAGTATTAATTTTACTCTACTTTTTCATGATTATTTTTTCAATTATTGTTTTTATAGCACCTAGATGTTGTTCCAAACTAACAAAGCCATATAAGTAACCTTCTATTAATTTTGAATTAATTGAGAAGTGAATGAAATATAATTATATTACAAAATTAAAAGAATTATAATAAGCTTCCGAATTGAAAAAATCAAAATTATCAGTTTTGATCAAAAATTAATTCTAAAATTTATTAAATTTTTTGTATGTTTAATAAAGCAAAATGATTAAAACACAATCAGTCTAACTAGTAAAATTGATTGATATTAAGTTGAGACAGGTATAATATTTTGCTATTAATTATTCATAAAGAAAAAGAATATTTATATTAGAAATTAATTAATCTAAAATTCAAAAATTTATTAATCTTTAGAGATTATGAGATAAAAAAGTTGAACTCAAATAAGTTATTAGTCTAGTAATCTCATTCTTTCAAAAAATAACTTTGCAAGAATAAAACCAATAAGTATTCTGTTATAAAATCAGGATCATATATTTATAAAATAGTAATTTTTACATATAAAATTGTTGAAATTACCAAGAAAATAACACCAATGTTTTTACATTCACAAATCAACTCAATAGTATCGTTATATTTTTGCCTTATTCATATTGCACTAATAAGGTTTCTCAAAAAAAAAAATTGGTTTCTATTTAGAAACTATTTTTATTTTTTTTCTGTTTTATGATAAAATTCAACAGCAATTTAATAAATATTTAAAATTTTTAAAGGCAATGCCTTATATCTTGAATTTGATTATTTTATGTAAACATCATTCAGCCTATTATAGAATGTTATATTCATTACTGCATCTAATAATAACCCTCCATATCTAAAATTCTTAAAAGTTTTAACTTAATAGTGGACTTTATACTATTCATTTTAATTATTCTGAAAGAATCTTTGATTTTAACATATATAGATTGAATGATAAATCAGACATTGTATTTCTGTTTTGACATTTTCATGCTTATTTCTTTGAAGATTTAACTATTCTTAAGTATAAAGTTGAATAATTTGAAACTTAAATTTAATATATATTCAATTTATCTAACAGTTTTCAATATTTTATCTATTAAACTAGTATTAATATTCTCATTTAACCATATCAAATCATGAGGAGTAATTAAAATCAAAGTAGCAATTATTTTATAACTTTATTATTTTAGGAATTTTTGTAATTTTAATACCATAATAATTACTATTGTGTAGAAATTGGATTTAAGAGTAATAACAAATATATGGAGCTAATATGTTGTATATTAATAAATACTGATATTCACTACAAAAAATTCTTATTAGTAACGAATAAATTACAAAAATCATATCACTTTAGAATTTAATGAAACATATATATAGGTCTATTCCAAAAAATAGTAATTTAAGCACTAATCTATAATGAAAAATAAAATCAAATAGTTAAATATTACAATAAATTAATCTTGTATTAATACAGATTTTACTAAATTAAACTTTTACATATTTTATGATAAAGACGGTTAAGAATTTCAATTTTCAATATTTAATAAATATAAATTTATATTTTTAAAATGATAATAAAATATTTATAAACTGACAAAAACCCAAAAAGAAGTGAGTAATAATAGGTGAATTCTGAAATATTTAATCAATCACTTTTTATATTGAATTGGATCTCTAGAAAATAATGTTAATATATATATTAATACATAAAGTAACATTACATTCTCTACTCACTATATATTTTTAATCTTTTTTTTCAAGTTATATGCATCGAAATCAATGATCCTGTTACTGTATACAAGTAAATATAAATTGAAAAAAAATACTTTATGCTAAATTTAAAGAATAATTGATTGATTAAATAAAAAC